CCTTAACTCAGAGCCAGATAATTATCTATAATATTTACTTTATATTGTTATTCCCTCATTCCCGGCGCGACTTGGTTTGGCTAGGCAAGGCTAGGCTAGACTTTCTGGCGCGTTTATTTAATAACGACGCTCTAAAATTATGAAATATATCACGTTTACCTCGTGCTTCATGCTATATATGGATTAAAGTTTGCCAAATTTTAGAGTTGCACGTTGGACTTTATATTTCTCCTCAAGTGTGAAGTCACCATTGTATTTATTCTGATCCTTTATTAATCCTAGTCTTTCATTTGATAAGGGTACCCATCATCATCATCATCATATGCATTCACTGGCTAACGAGTATCTTGTCAGTTTTATTATCTGTGGGTCCTTTCACAGCTAAATAAGCCTATTCTGAACCCACATTGGTTTTACACCCAATCAGTTGCAGCCGGTCACTGTTGTAAACCAGCTAGGGATGCGCACGATGTATCGATGTTTCAAAAACATCGATTTTCTTATTTCGATGTTCGATTTTTATATCGATGTTTTTTTATTCGATATTATTAGAGAACATCGATATTTTTTTGCGATGTTTTTTCGATGTTTCCTTCTAAATACTACACCAGTACTTTCAGTTCCTTACCAAAATTTGATGAAAATCTATTTGTTGAACATTGGGAAGAAACAAAGAGTGTATATCTGCACTATCAAAGATAGCTTCAAAATACTTGAGCGTTGTAGCAGCTTCTGCTCCATATGGGAGACTATTTTCAAATGCAGGACAAATTTCGACACAAAATTACTGTTCTTGGATAATAATTGTGATTCAAATATGATTGTTACTCGTATTTATATCATTTAAGTCAAGTATCTAACTAGATTTACTCCCTAGTGCTTAGTTCTTGCTATTGTTTGCTTTCAAATGTACTTTTTTTTCATTATAAATCGTGTATTTATTACGTGTATGTATATTATATTGAAAATACATAAGTAGGTTAAGTAAAAATGATATTCTATTTATTAACAGTTTAATTTTTTCTCACCATATTTTCAAAAACATCGATGTTTAGAAACATCGATATTTTCAAGCCGATGTTTTCACAACATCGATTGTGCATATTCGATGTATCATTTGATATCAACATCGATGTTTTCAAAATTTTGCGCATCCCTAAAACCAGCTCTTATCAGGCGTTCTCGCTCTTCTCTACGATTCCGTTTGTCCTCCAAATCCCTTCGCCTTTTATCGTTCGAAATATTCCGCGCCTTAGTAGGGACTTCGTCGCCATGTACGGGTCTATTCGGAGCAGCGTTGGCCATTTTGTAGTTGGGAATATATGATTTACTTAGGAGACGTGAGTCCGGCATGCGGAAGACATGATTAGCCCAGCGAAGCTGATGCTGGATGAGAATTGTCTCAATGATGTTGGAATTGGTTTCTTCTGTTTTTCGTTCGTTGACCTTACCAGCTTATTTAAAGTATTCTTCTCAAGCAACGCCGGTTATACTTTTCTACGCAACTCTGGTATCGCCTGTAGGTGGTGCAGCTTTCACATTCTTAGGGCCGGTATTATAAAACACTGAACCGATGGTTGAGTTTCAACCTTCGGTTGAATCCCATCAATTTGCATGGAGTCAGCCGAAGGTTGAAACTCAACCATCGGTTCAGTGTTTTATAATACCGGCCATTAGAGAACTGTTGATACATAATGATAGCTTTGTGGACCGACAGCTTAGTTTGGGCTTTTGTGTCCTGAAATTCAACCACCGTTTACAAGAGACGTCCAAAAGCTGACGCACTTTTGTCGGAGTTGAATTTCCGCGTCAATATTTCCAAGTATCGAAAAAAAACTACTCAAGTATCGAGAATTACAGATGGATCTGACGCGTTAGTAGACCCATGCTTTCGTGTGCTGCCAAATTGTATTTAGAATAGGTAGTTTGTAGGTCTTCCTCGGTATTTGCGGACAACGTTATTTTATTTATTTAGCTTATTCTATGTATTGGGAAATATCATCAGCATATTGAAGCTCACAAACAGCAGGTTTTCTGAGCTGCTTTCTTTTCAGGGGCTTAGGCGCCCCAAGGCGCCCTGGATCACAATTTTGAAATGTAAACAACCGTTCTTTTTAATCTGGGCGTCAAGCTCCGGGGTCGTCTATCCCCACCGCTAGCGCCTCAGCGAGGCGTCGAAGCTCTACAGCTCCAGTGTCCGAACTGTCACTAGTGTCAGATAATTATATGATCCTTAATTACCGTTCTTTTCAGAGCGTGCGCTGATGCGCCCCAGGGCGTCGAAGCCTGGGGGTTTCAAAGCTCTGAAAAGAAAGCACATCTGGTGGTATGGTTCCTAAATATAGCGAATAAGCTTGGCGCAATGACAGAGCGTTGCTTCACTCCAGCAGTAATCCTGAAGGCTCCTCTGGGTCTGTTGTTGGTAATGATAGTGTCGTTCATGTTGTGATGCAGAATACGAAGTATGTTGATTAATGGAGGCGGACCGTTGTGCAATGCCAATATTTTCTAAAGATCTACTTGGGTCAGCCGTTTCCACTAAGTCTATAAATGCCATATACAGAGATTTTTTTTGCACTTTCCATTTTTCTCGCATTTGTCTTGCAGTGAAGGTCATGCCTGCTGTCACCGTTAGCTCCAAAGCCACACTATGTTTCGGGTAGGGTTGCTTCCACCAGAGGAAGAAGTCGGTTGGCGAGAAGCCTGACAAGAATTTTTCATGCTTTAGAGAACAGTTATATTCCTTGATAATTTCCACACTGTCCGTTATCGCTTTTCCAAAATATTTTGTGACGATAGAGATATCTCGCAGATCTGTGGGAATTGTCTAGGTGCTCCATATTTTGGCCATGTGAGTGTGTGTGATCGCTTGGCGCACGGTCCCCTACCCTTAAAAGCTCTGCAGGGAATCCGTCTAACCCAGCAGCTTTATTATTCTTCAGTTTGTTTACAGCTTTTTCAAGCTCTGCATGGGAAGAAATGTCACGGGATCTTCAAGTAGCTGAGTCCCATCTAGATCTAAGGGGATTTGGACCTTTTTTAGGAAGACCATAGGTTGCTCCTGTGGCACTAAAGCAGGCTCTGGTGCTGTTAGAGGCTGCTTTGTTCCAAGTCGGTTGTTCACCACTCGTTGCATCCCTGTTCTTTTTTGTACTTCAGCCCTTGCTTAAAGGGCGATTTGTTTTTTGTTTGCTGAATTTGAGATTTTTTGCGAGTTATTGTAGGCTTTCCTCTCCTTATCGATGACGTTCTGATTTTTCAAATTGTTCTTATCAAACCAATCCTCATGTCTCCTTATGACGTTGCCCGTTGATTCTTGGCAGCTTGTAAAAATAGCTGCTTCAAGCATTGACCAACTCGATGTCGGGATATTCAGCAGACAATTTCTCATTCAATATTAACCAGTAGCTGGGGCGAGCCAAAAACCATAATTGAAGCGATGGTTCCTCATGCAAGAGGAGAATCCTCTGACAGCCTCTGACCCTACGTTGGGCATGGTTGTGTTCAAAATTATTTTTTTTTGCTCAGCCAATTCGAAGGTTGACTTGGGTTCACTTAAAATGAAGCCCTATAAGCAAGTGCCAATACGCTTCTCGGCCTTTTGGCCAAAATCAAAGTGTAGTGATATTAGTGTGTACTCTGATTTTATTTATTCTCTTTTTATCTGCTTATTTTATTGTAACTTAACATTTTAACCATTGTCTATTTTATCTTTTTACTCTTTGTTCATCAAATTAAGCCCTGTGATATTTTTTAATTTCTTTCTTATTCATATCTGTAATATTTTATATAATAGGTACTGTGATATTTGGGTCTAGAGAGACGGGTTCTTCGCACCTACTCACGCTTGCTTTATTTTTCCTTATACATACTACCTTTTCCAATGAGCTTATGAGTTTATAAATGTTGAGATCTGCCTAAAAGGCTGAACTGGCTTCTTAGATATATGCCCTAGAGCTAGTATAAATTTTAGATTTAGAAAAACAATGTATTTTGTAATTTTTTGAAATTGAATTTTAAATAAACGTCTCAATCTGCTCCAATCATATTAAATAATATAACAATGACAGCTGCTAAAGTCTACGTTCTCCTAATTAGGACAATATCTAAGTGTATCGATTTGCTTGACATCTATTTCGCGAATCCTCAGATTTCCGTGGCACCTGCTATTTGGAGTACACCTCAGAGTTATGCAGCTGTAAATCGGAGACAGAAAACTTGACAATTGTTCCCGGCCCTGAAAATATAGCTTTTAAACCAAATAAATCTCTGAATTTGCAAGATCTTTTTAGACATGGAATTATTTACGCAGGGGCGAAAATTCACTGTGAGAAAATGTAATTTATTTTGTCGAATATTCTCATAAATACGTTTTTCAACGGACATCAGTGAAATACCGAGCATAGAAAAATATAAAATAATAATAACTTACCTATTTTTGGGCGGATTAGAGAAATAGCAATCTGCTACAAGCTACATGGTGCTTATGAGCCTGTTTTTCTCGTCTAACTCATATTTCAAAATAAATGAATGGAGACCCGCTGGAGCATTCATCACTCCGATGTATTACACCAAAGTTTAAATCAATACAGATACGAGCGTTCTGCACTGAGATAAATACATCATCACACTAAGCTATCGCTACAAAATTATCAAACTTGTCAGCACATGTAAATTTTAGTTCGGCAAAGGTAAATCCGCTATCACGCACCCTTCATAAATACTAAACCAATGCAGTTTTATTTATTTTTTTAACCTTAAAAAAGATTGTGTTCCAAAAAAAGCAGCTGCAGTCAGCATAAGAGGTCAAATAAGATAAAGACTTTCGACAAAAAGGATATTTGATGTACTGGAAAAACTTTCCTAATACTACGAGAAAGGTTTAATGTTCCAAAAAATGTAAACTCACTCCGGAATGAGAAGGAATTTGCAAGGTGAGCATCGATTTAAAAAAGTGTTTTATGCGAATCGCTAATGGCTAATTTATTTTAAACACCTACCAGAGTTAACACATTGTAACCGTCCTTTTGCGTCCTGGTTGGATGCTTGTGAACATAGTCGGCACCAATGGGGACCATCTTATTTAGCAGCTCTACATGAATCGTATCGATTTCTTCGTCCGCCTGTGATTTCGTCAGGCAATTATACTTTCCTTCGAGAACGTTTCCTCCATTATAGTGCACTGTGGCCCAGCCTGTGCTGATCTCGGACTTTTTCTGTAAAATTCATTACCATTTGTTTTTTATACTTGTTAGGCATCCATTAAAGATTTGGGGTTTTTTGCAGGAACATTAAACTGAATGTTTGTGCATACCTAGAGTTAGCAATTTTTTTCGGCGATTTAGGTAATTAGGGATAATTGTTTTGAAGTTTAATTTTGTATAAACTGTTAGCAAAAACAATAAAATTATATAGCAACATATCTTGTGTCTTTTAGTAATTTTTTTGTGTATAAGAATAAGAAAACTTTTTATTTGTAGGATATGTTACGATATGTAATTTTTTTTCAATGTGCGATCGATCCTGCATGCCTGATAACCTAGAAGTACATTTTGACACCGGTCGCGTGATCACTATCATGGCCGCGAATTCGAAAATTTCGGTATGGAAACGCTAACAGTGGAATTTGATGAAAAAATATCGGGAAAAAAATTATTTGAAAAAAGTAAAAAGAAACGATATTTCAGGACTGTCTACAAAATTTAGAGCAAAAACAGGAAATTCTATATTTTTCTTCATGGATCTCTTATCAAATAATATACAACAGTTTTTATTATTGAAATAGTCCAAGCAACGCAATATTGATTGTGTCATGGTAAAACAAACTTAAATTCTTCATTGAAATAATTCCCAAAGAATTGAATGAAAATATTCGATTAGCACATAAAACTTTTTTGTAGCAATATTCTGTAGGTACCTACTTTAACAGTTTGTGAGGTTTTCAATGACTTACTGTTGATACTACAATTAAAAAGAACCGTAATTGATATTTTTAATTTAAATTTCAATACAGTTCTAAAAAATTACCTACGAAACTGATATTTCTTCTTAATATTTTTTTCCGATATTTTGCCATCTAATCCCAGGAGTTGGGCCAGTGACGAGAAGGCCGAACAAGAACTTCCTAAATAATTTCGAGCCATGGTTGATGGAAACAAGAGGCTTAGAATGGAATACAGAACCAGAAAAACTGAAGAAAATAGAATAGCATGGAATTCAGAAATGATAAGATAAGGAGATCCAAGAACGCAGCATGATTGACCACTCTGCGTGGCAAATGCCGAAATATCTGAGAAGAGAGACTACCATCATACCATTACTCCATGGACTCGATATGGTTTGAATTTAAAAAACCTTTTTCGCTTGTTTTCTGAAGCATATATCCCTCTTGATCAAAGTTTCTCAAAAATCGAACCAATTTTTACCCATCAATGTGAAGATGTTACCTACCCTTTAAACTGGCTTCGAAAAAATTTATAAGGTGATTTATTTTTGACTAAGTGTGGACTGGAAGGACGTCTTAAAACCGCTCATTTTAAAATCGGGCTAATCTTCTCAATATATTGCTATTCCAAAAACGTAAAAAATATAGGTTGTTATATGGAAAACGTTCGCTCTATATCATTTTTTTAATACTTGAGAAACTTTGGTGAAAGTAATTCAAAAGAATGACATGAGCTTAGAGGCCTTGTTTTCAATTCTATAAGCACCCTTTTTGGAATTACTAGGTTGATGATTTAGCCAGGGGTTGTTTGTTATCGTTGCACCGAAATCCCATTAAATTCACTAAGAGCGAAATTATGGCCCGACTGGTAACGTCTTTAGCAAATTTATCCCCTAAAAAGAAAAACTTTGTGTCAAGACTGCGGGTTTGGGTTTAGACCGCGAATTTTTTTTTTTAAATTCATATAGATTCCGGTAGGGTAGGACAACAAGAAATAACCCTCACAAAGATATCGATTTTTATTCAGAAAAGGACGTTACTCTAAGCAAATTGAGTCGGCAAATCTGCCGGTGATCAGCTAGACATAACATTATAGGAAACATAGATAATTAACTTGTTATATCATGAACCTCGCCTAAACCAATTTCCATTTAACACTATATTGGATCCCTGTTGCATAAACAACTAAATATATACTGCTCTTTGCAGGTTTCGCTAAAGACATGCTAGAATCGCGAAAACAAATACCAAAAGTGAAAAATTTGAGAAGCAGCTTCAATAAATAAAATGTGTTCCGTTTGTAGTCTTAAGTTTTACTTTTATCATATTTTTGAAACGTGATATGGAAAACAACTGAAAAGTTACCTAGTAACTTCACAGTTGTTGCAAAAACCCAAAAGTTTGCAAATCATGAGATCACATTTCCCTATATTATTATACGGCTAACAAAAGTCTTACGTCGTATTCATAATGGACATCTCCAATATGTCTTGTTGCCAAGGGCAATTCCACATGCAACTCTCCTTTATAGTTCTTTTTCGAGGGGGTATTGCCTGTTTGTATGTCACATTTACTGTCTAAAACTGCACTGTTATTGGCCCAAAAGAACTTTACATACCGATTGTGGAAATTGCTGAAAAACAGATTTTTTTATCCAGTTAATAATAACAAAATTTTAATAAAATTTATTTTCAAAGTAACAAAGCCTTATGAGCAAGAAAATCTTTACCTTGTTGTCTCAGATTTAAAATGAGCTCCGCTAAAATTCAGCGATTTGTATGGAACAGATATGTTAAAAATACCGAACATATTTGCCAATTCGACATAATCTATGGTGCCAAAGGCAAGCAATACATCTTCTGGATGAAACATTTTACATCTGCAACCGAAATAAATGTATTAACCTTAAAAATATCTTTGTTGGTAAATTTGAGGAATCGTTTGAAACAAAAATTTGTTTTTGAAATTTTGGAACATATAAGATATCGCGAATTTGATTGTATATTCTCAAATAAGCATTTTTCATACCTACTAAGCTTTAAAATTTTTAGAGAAATGAATAATCAAGTACAGAGAAATCCATACCAGCTTCATTTGATACTCTAAAACTGTTTGAGAAAATAAAAAACACCTTCGATATGTAGTTATTTATGCAAAAAAAAACTAAGCAAACTTTCTTAAATGTTAAGAATGCAATGTTTCGTGAGTATCTTTTGCATCAACTCTGCACCTTGCAGACCAAATGTTTTAATAAGAAGTTTAGGCGGATTTTAATTAATTATCAAGAATTTTTGTAGAACAAGATACTTACGTTATATTATGATGTTCATTAAGAGCATTGTACATTACTTGGCCTACAAAAAAATCTTTGCTTGGGAATTCTGGAACTTTCAATTTATATAAGAAATCAAAGGCTTTCTCTTGACGCAATAAATTGACGTTATTATAATATTCTTGACCATCATATTCAACTATAGCAGTCCCGGAAATATTTTTTTTAGTTTCCAACAAGACCTAAAAAACAGCAGATTAACAAAAATCCTTAGAAAATCAACGAAAGGACCCTGCACACCTCTTGAGTTTTCTGACCGCAGTTAAATAAAACGAAATTTAGAAATGCTATATCCGATCTTTCTGTTCAATACTTACTGTGGATCTTGGGACTAGTTTTGAGATTCAGGCTGTTTAGTGTGTGTCCAATATGAATTATCAGGCACCTGGAACGCATTTACGATAGGAAAGTACTACTTTAACAATTAAATTTCATACAGGGTGTAACTACCAAAATTATTGAGAATATATAAATGGTGTCGGGCTCTAAAGTAGGTATTGCTACGAAATTGCCTCAAGAGCCCGGCCGCATTCTTGGAAATTCGTTTTTCACGTATGGGAGCACGCCTTTTCTGGGAATTAAATTATATTCGATTTGATGTTTTTCTACTTTGATACAGAATGCGTTTTCGGCCATAAATAGCGCCTAGTAGTAGCTTTAATAAGTCAGTTTTGATTCGATATTTGATATTTGTCGTGTATGTATCGATAAGTGATAAGTGAATTTTATATAAAGTCAATTGATTTAATAAAAGTTGTTACTGGTTGTGTTAGTGTGTGTTAGTGCATCCGGAATCCAGGAAAATTTGGTGTCAGAAGTGCGATTATTAGTAATGCAATTGGTGCATTAATTTGTGCTGAATAGTGAAATAGCTGGCAAGATAACTACTGGACTAGTTTGAGCTAATAAGTGGGATTATTAGCAATATAATTGCTATAATAATTGGAGCTAATTAGTAGGAGCAATCAGTGAACTGAAATAGTGAATTTATTACTGGATTTGACATCGAAAAATAAACTCACAAGCGGATTTTCTGGAAAATTCCAGAAACTTCTATAGAAGTCTATTTGGAAACCGCGAGTGATACAAGAATATTGACTTCATTATTGATATAAACATCAAAAAAACAAGTTATCAGAGTGATTTTTGTCATTCCATTGGGTTCTATTTGAAAATTTGACTACGCCACAGATCTTTCGATTAAAACAAGCTTGAAAAAAAAAAACGATCCAGGATACTCTATGGTAAATACACGTCAGCGAACAGCCGAAATGGACCAAGTTAATCAAATGTCGTTGGAAGAAAAACCCGAAGACAGAGAGAGAGACAAGAAGAGGAAAACCGAAGATAGAAAGCTAGGCTAGAAGAACAGGACCGGTTTGCAGCACTTTTTCAACAACAAGAAGTCTAAAGACAGAAGAAACAGGATCGGCTTGCAGCACTTTTACAACAACAGAAGACCGAACACAGAAAAAAAAAACAAGAAGAACAGAACCGACTTCAGGAAAACTTTAAATTTCAGCGAGAATGGATTCAAACCATAATCATCGAGGAACAAACTAGACTCGAGAAAATTCTGGAAGTCCGAGACAATAAATTCACGAATGCAATGGAAGTAGTACCTACGTGAAGAAGTCGGGAATGTTCGTAACGAAGTTGGGAGTATTCGTCACGAGGTTTTTCAGTAAGTTAGAACTATTCGCCAAGAAATGGATACTTTTGAGAAGAACATTGAAAAATTGGAATGTTAATTGAGATCAGTGAATATCTCCCGCCTGCACCTGGTATCATAGTTAAGCTACCATCATATGACGGACAGACATCATGGGCCATGTACGGACACCAATTCGAGACTGTAACAATGACTAATGGTTCAAGCTCCGATGAAGTAGCTACAGATTTGATTGTAGCATTGCTGCGTCTTGCCTTAGACCTATTAGCGTTTTTGGAATTAGCTGTGTCACTTCGTAAAAAAAAAACCAATGGAAGAGATTAATGTCACCATAATGAAAGAGTTTCTGGAAGAGTTACGGAAGGCTGTTATCAGAATGAAACTAGGAAATTTCAAAGGAAGCATCAAATGTTACCGCTGCAGAAGAAAAGGACATTTTAAGCGTGATTATAGTAGACAGTCTAACAAAGCAGATGCCTTGTCTAACCGAGCATGCCCAGATCCGGACGAAAACTGCATCTGAATTGATCACCGAGAAAAAGTTCTTGTTAGAGGCTTTCGATTTGATGCAGATTAAGAACGGAGTCTCCAACAGCTGGGAACTGATCATCTGGAAGAGAGTCACCAGGACCTCGAATAATTTTTTGACATAAAGCAAGCCGGGTAAAGATCAACAAAATGTAGAAAAAAAACTCCGGCAGGCGAAAAACGAAAGACCAGGAACAGGAACATCGGTGGATTAAGACTACTGCTGGTCCAGGAGGTCAAAGTTATCCCTCGAACACCCGCTCTGAATATTTCCATAAAGAGGGGTGTTACGAATGCTGCGACGATCCATGAAGCCATTTGGCAGCATGACGTCAATCCAAGGGAAGAAGAGCCATGCAGACATGAGAGTACATCCCGAAAGTCAGGAAGGCCCAGCAGTCTAAGGCACGGCGCGGCGTTTAGGTCGCAGTCCACTTAGACAGGCAAAGAGAAGTTGAGCAAATAAATAAATGGAATCATTATGGATCTGAGTGGAGGCATAGACGTAGAAGAGAAGGTGTTGCATGTTGACAGAGGGACGAACTGATTTGAGAGGAGGGCAGTGTTACTAGAGCCCGGCTGCATTTTTGGAAATTCGTTGTCTATTTATGGGAGCACGCCTTTCCTGGGAATTCCATTATATTCGATTCGATGTTCTTCTAGTTAGATCCTGAGTGCGTTTTCGACTATAAATAGCGTATAGTAAAGCCATATGTGTTATGTATGTTTCGATAACTGATAAGTGAATTTTATATAGAGTCAATTAGATTAACACATTCAATGACACCTGATTTTGTTGACATATTTTTAACGGGCATTAGCGGAATTTCCCACCAACTTCATAATGCGAATGCCGGAGCTGACGTTATATGGCGTATTTCCTTTTTTTGGTCCTGGTCTACTAAGGTCCTAACGGAGCTAGCGTTGTATGACGTCGATTTAGCGTATATTTGGTGTTAGGGTGCCGTATTGGAAACCCGAAAATATATATTTAGGATGGATAGTATAATTAACGTTCCCGGAACCACCCGAGACAGGTTAATACATGCAGCATATCAAGGTGTCTTTCTGAGCGCACACCCATATTTTTGGTGCCGTTTTCGACATAGTGGCTATGACGGCAAATGCCGCGGGTGTCATTGAATGTGTTAATAAAAGTTGTTACTGTTTGTGTTAGTGAGTTCTGTAAGCCCAGAATTCCTGAGAGTATCACACCTCAACGACTTTAATGCAGATTTAGGCCTTATCTGAAATAAAACACCCGGCATCCCTACCACTCATTAAGGAACCTGATAGCTAATTGAAATATATATATTTTTTTAATTATGGGAATATTTCTTCTGTCCTGTCAACATCATTGATTTATCAGAGCGTACGAAAAGTAACGGGACGGTGGATTATGTGTGCTCTGGTGCAATTACAACTGGACAGATCCAGGCTCCTAATGAAGAACCTCGAAAATCTGGAATTTTGCTTCATTAGGAAACATCGATTAACCCAAACACCCCAAATACATAACCAAATATTAGAAACAAAAAAAACATTATTGACTAGATGAACAGGGCAAATCCTAAAACTTTTAGCAATGTAAATACCTTATCGCACAGAAAATTTGAAGTTCTCTTGTCTAGCAATAACTGTTGAATATTTGCAGAATGTTTTGTTAACTGTATTGAGAAAAATTCATTGTCGGTCCTGCGTCCTCCTCATAGGCATGCAGTTCATCTAATTTGCTTGTATTGCAATTTGCATTGAAGACCATTAATTGCTATTGACTTTCATGACCGGTAATAAAAGTTCTTATCTTCTCCTTTGACCAATAATCAGTTTTTGATCATCATATTGTCCTACGATCATTATGTGCCTGGTATCACTTACTATCTTGCATATAAAACACTGATGAATCTGAAAGCCAGCCAATTTTAGGCTAGCTACTTTGTGAGTCAAAAATCATTGATTAAAGCTTAATATCACTCATACCATGGTTATGGTTGGTAATCTCAGGCGATGAACCATAGGTCGTTATCCAGAAGCATTTTTCGTGTCTTTTTATTGCGCGAAGGTGAAAAGAAGAACTCATATATCTCTTAATAATATGCGATAGTACAATTCGTCCTAAAAATAGCAATAAAAATATTGTATTGGTCTTGTTCATCTGCTTGAATGTTTTTTGCCTTTTCTCATTAAAAAAATGGCATGTCTCTTCATTTCAACGACTGTTTTAAAGTAGCTGTTCGCTCATCCGATATCAACAAATGGAACACTCCTAAAGTACCTAGCTAATTGACATAAGAAACTTTGGTTAAATTTGACTGCGGTCAAAATACCCGGGAGAGGTATGCGTGGTCCTTAACACACTCTCTCCTGATTTTATGTAATATAAGAAAATACATGATGAAAAATATATAAATTATAAAATAGATTACCTCTCCCCATAAACCATATTTGCGAGTTGGATATGTACTTCTGTATTTTACCAAATAATCAATAAAACTTAGTCCTGTGCCATAAATCAATTTTCCAAATAGACTATGAGTTTCTCTATAGTCATTAGGAATTTTTAAGTATCCTTCAAAGCTTAGGTTGTTTTTGGACGGGAGCATTAGAGATGCATTGGTACCTGCCCTTAAACAGAATTTTTTCATTCAACTCGCTGTACACAAAGCACTTGATAACTGCTGATAAAAGTCACTTGGAACGTTGCGACAATAAGCAAAGAAATATAATACAAACCATTTTCTAGATTCTATTTGCCCTATCTTTCATATTTTTCCAATCATGCATAATCTTAAAATATTAAATGCCTGATAAATGAAAATGTTTAGATGAATTGGAAGAAAAAAATGCACCATACTGACGAAAACCGACGACAACGTCAATCTACTTAATACTAAAATAAAATACAAACATTCCCCGATATTAAAATTGCCTGAACAACAAACGGGCACTTTGCGATCTATAAATTTCACAATTCTCTCTCTTTACCTTCAACCTTCAATTTAGCAGTTAAAGTTATATCAAATTTGAAAAATAATATCGACACAAATACATAAGTTGGTTTCATTTTTATTTTTTATTTATATCCTAGTATGTTTATTTACTTACTCCCATAAATCATCGATTTTCAGATCACCTCCAGTGGTTAATTCTTTGAACGCTTGTTCTGGATTTCTGTAAAATAATTCAACTTGCGACGAGCTATTGAACTGTTGATTTTTATAATTGCCAATTCCCCTGAGGCACATATCTTCCAAATATACATATGTTAAATCAACATTAGCGCGTCCTTCAACGTATCCTATTAAAAAGTAGCCATTACTTTTTAATATAGTATCTTCTCTCCTAAAAACAAACAGGTTATTGATACTGTATGAATATGAGTCAGTTTCGTTAATTTGAAGCTAAAAACTTTAATAATCGATTCCTCACTACAGAAGCTACATTTTCATACAGTATAGGCATTTATGGCTGAAATTTATCTAATATATAGTGCTATAAAATATTGCAACAAAGTTAAGTATAATAAAGTAGAAGCACATTAAATACAACAAAATAATTTTATCTCCCAAAAATAAATGTCAGGCTGATTTTATTTATAGTCAGCTACAGTTATCATTTTGAAATTATCATTTTGCTGTTTTCTAGAAACTAATATAATATAGTGAACTAAAATTTTTGAATAATAATGGCATATCTAAAAGTACTTCAATAATTTAACTATTAATTATTTGCACAAAAATATTCAATTGGATCAGTTGCTTAATATTTCAAGCTTTCTTTTAGATAATAAACATCTTCCCTAATTTGTTCAGCTATGGGATTATGATATTGGTGAAAAATCTTTGATGCAAACAAAAATTAATTTTTAATGACATTGAAAATTTTATCTATTTATCAAATTTGACATTTTAACAATGAAAGCGTTTGTTCGGTTTTTTGAATCAAAATAGTTGAAAACCTACCCTAAATAGAAGGCTACAAAATGGGAAACGCTTACTCGAATGTTCTTGCTGACGCTGATGGTGGGGTTCTCATTGATGACTTAGAAGACGACCTACAGAGACTACTCTACTTCTTTATTTAAAGATCGAAAAAAACTTTTTTTCTGTACCCAAAAGCATTTGAAAATATATCAATTTAGGTAATTACCCCTAAAAATATATTTTGACACAAAGTCCTGGAATATTTTAGTCACCAACCGTATATGTTTCGATAAATAGTAAATACGTACGACAAACGGGATGTTTATCCATATCAAATATCAACTATAACATATAATGGTAAAATCTAGATTTGAACTATCAGGTCATAATAGAAGAATGCCATCAGATCTATTATCCGCCTACGCAAGGAAAACCTTTTCCACAGTAAACGAAATCTGAGGAGCGATTAGCTATAGTATTGAATTTATTTAATTTATAATGATCAAATATTTTTATCGAATTTCCCGATTCAACAAATTGTGGTAAGGCAGGAATTATACGGGGTAAATTTTTCAAAGTGTCACAATGCGGTATCTCGAAAACGGTTTCAAATATTTTCCACTGGCCACAGAACTAATATATTTCCTAACAAGTGCGGAAAGTGAGTCTTGTTTGCACGTTGGCTCCAATTGACCGAACGACGCGAAGCGGAGTTCGGGTCGCAGTCAAGTTCGAATGATCATACAAATGAAAGATCAAGACTGGTTTGGTGAGAACGACACGGAAATCCAAGAACTTACAGAAATCGAAAGAAAAGCGCATATTGCATGGGAAAGCGACTCCGGCTCGACTGTAAAAGAGGGCAAAACCAGGAAGCAAAAGCAGAAGTTCAAAGGCAAACGCGAGCATCAAAGAACCAATGTGGCTAAGAACATCAAAGGAAATGCAGCAACTAGCTGAATCCAACAGCACAAGGGCTTTTTTCAGGCTGATAAGATGATATATGGACCAACCACTAAAGGACTCAGTCCCTTACGATCCAAAGCTGGCCCAAGACTGCTCAAAGAAAGTTCCTCCATTAATTCCCGTTATGAGGAACACTTCCAGGAACTACTCAACAGAGAATCACAAATTAATGATGACATCTTCAACGAAATTCCACAGAAACCAATACAACAAGAACTGAGCGAGGTTTTTAGATTAGAGAAGGTTGAAAAGGCAGTCAGACATCTAAAGAACAATAAGTCAGCTGGTACTGACGGCATTCCTGCTGAATTTTTTAAACAAGGAGGCCCGAAACTAAGTGCCCAAGCCACACATCATAATAAGTAAAATATGGGTTACTTAGAATATGTTTGACGAACTTAGCGATGCCTCCATAGTCCATAGTTTCTTCATAGATTTAGTAAAAGCATTTGATTCGGTCAATAGAGAAGGTCTTTAGAAGATATTGGTAAAGGTTGGGTGTCCGCAAAAGTATATACATCGATACTCCGCCTGCTGCACGATAATATGAATACAATCGTCCTGAGCAACGATGGACAAGGAGAATATTTTCAAGTAACTACAAGCGTTAAACAGGGCTGCGTTATTGCACCCACTCTATTTTCCCTATTTATAGGATCCATACTTCACCTTGTCGAGGGCACCTGCCATGGAAATCCTGTACAGACTTGATGGTGGCTTATTCAACCTAAACCGATTACGAGCCAAGACGAAAGTATCGACGACGACGACATCGATACTTGAACTTCATTATGCAGATGATAACGTTGTGATGGCGAATACAGAGGAAGATCCCAAAGCCCCAAATATAAATAGAAATGACAACTCCTTGCAGAACATAGAACACTACCTGTCGTCTACAGACTTTGAATTTACGGCTTATATTCGAAGGACCATATGATAATATAATGTTATAACCTATTTGAATGAAAGCATTATTTATCAAACGAAACCGTGAAACGTTGAAAGTTACTTGTCGTTTTTTCTTCCAAATTTAACTTTATATAACCCTTTTAAATGTTGACAGTCTGGTGACTGACATTTAAAGAGTACAGGGTTCCCGCTATTTATTATATAACAATTATTAAATTATTACACTAGAGGGCGCAATTTTCTTTTAAATTTTATATTGGTTAGCACCAACAATTTCCGTGGCTATCTGGAGAGGAAGCGCTGTATCCGTACTTATCTGGCCCGTAGGAAGTCGATTCTGGTCCCTTTTGAATTGTCTCGTTGAACTGAAAGGTTGATTGGCTGAAAGTGCTGCTCGAAAAAAAAAATATCTTACCGGCCTTTGAGCGTTGCGTTGTTTAACGAATTAAAGTTGCGTGTGGCAATAATCTGTCGATTTAAGAAAAATTCGAATCAAAAAGTCTCGTGATTGCGGTTTGATTTAAGTTTAAATTCCCACCCAAAAACGTGGTAAGTTCTTTCAAGTTTTATAAGTAAGTAATGGCTTTTCAAGAAATGCATTATTACTTAGGGTCTTTCGAACGGCCGATTTCCCCAGCAAGTCCATTCCAAAAAAAGGCCACATTTTCAAATCAACACCATTTTCGTGGAGCTTGACAATGAACCTTTGAAGGGCTTCCTACCCTACTAGAATAAAGACCCCACAGGTCAATACGTGTGCTGCACCTTTGACGACGATTATATCCCCCTGGGCTGGAATCTACCAGTTCTTATGTGTGGCCCCTTTCGTCCAGATATCGAGAGACGAGAATGGATGGTTTCCGGATCTGCCTTATGTTGGAATGAAGGGTTGTATAAGTTTCACTAATAACTCTTGATTTAAAATTTTTATAACATAAAATCATTTTTACAGTCTTTTAACAAAGCTATGATAATTTTTTATATATGACACTGTACAAATTTATTCTTGACACAATGGCGAAAGAAAATTGGTTCTTAGTTTATTAATTTTACTATGTTAGCATAACTTAGCATAACTGCCTTATATTTTATCAATTTTATCAATAAGTGATCTGAATAATGGTCAAGGTTGGACAACATGTTCTAAATTTGAATTCTTGGATAATAGCTTGCCGTCGAAAATTGATCAATTTTTAACCCGGGCTCTTATAACTTATACATCGGAGGATTTCCTTCAAGTCGACCATTTGACTTATAGCCCAACCTTTGATTTTTTTACAGGTACAACTTTTTTTTTTAATCTATTTTTTTGCAGAGATTGACCATAATCATTAATAGAATTTTTTTAATCATTCAATTTTTTTAATTAGTTTTCCGGAAACGTAAATCTTTATATTTTCCTTTCAAATTGATGATATTGGTAACTAATGTTAATGAATTTATGAGGCAAGTATATTGAGGTACAATTTGTTGTTATGCTATTTCTATCATTATTATTATTTGAAAGGTAGTTCACGTCCACACACTTGCAAAGAAACGAAATTGCAGCTTTTTTGGACTCGGCCAACCTGGTAATGGATCATGTTATCAAAAAAACAATAGAATCATTGGATTTTGAAATTCCATTCTTTTTACTATATGTGGATGATTCACTGACAGCGGTGCCTAAAAATAACATTAATGACACTCTTAACATGCTGAATAGTATCAACCCCAACCTTGAATTCACAGTAGAGGTTGAAGAAAATAATAAACTGGCATTTTTGGATTTGCTGATATTTAACTCGCAGGGATCTTTGAAACTTGACCTCTACAAGAAACCAACGAGTTCTGGTCGCATTCTCCATTTCTCGATCAATCATCCATTACACCAGAAGATCAACCTCATGACAGAGTCCAAAAACAAAATCTACAGGCTTTCTAATCCTGAGTTCTGGGAAAAGAACTTACATAATTTACGACTTACTTTTCGGAATAATGGATATCCTACACATCTCATAAATCGCATCTTAAACCAGGCCCCTCCAACAACATTTCCACAGCCATCTAATGCTATTGAATCCAACAACAACAACAAATATTTCAAAATTCCATACATAAAAAACCTATCTGAACCATTAAGCAAAAAATTACAAACCACAAACAACAAGATGGCATTTTACAATACCAAGAAGGTTGGCAATCTATTTTCTTCAGTAAAAAGTAGAACGCAGACTATGGAAAATAGTAATATTATTTACCAGATACCATGTGGATCATGTAATTCGAAATATATAGGGCAGACAAAACAATACCTCAAATCCCGATTGGCCGAGCATCGACGTGACTGCAATATCACAAATTATGACCAACCCAAGACGGGCCTAGCTAAACACCATTTCGAAGAGGGTCACATATTTGATTTTAATAGCACTAAGATTTTAGATAGAGAAATAAATTTTAAAAAAAGACTCTTCCTAGAAATGACGTATTTTCACAAAAACAGGCCTAATGTGAATCTCAACCGAGACACTAACGACCTCAGTGTGTTTTATCATAACA